TCGGATCGCTGGTGGATGATTCATTGCTATGAGGGGTTCGATCTCCTGCGTCCAGTTCCTCCTGAAATGAATGAAATGAGTAGTGCCTACAGGTAGTAAGCTACAAAATGAGATCCCAGCTTCAAAATGAGAGCCTGCATGTGGTAATGGGAAAGTTGACTGATCCTCCTCTTTCAGACACATACATATGTGACAATTAATGAGATAGGTTTATCTTCGAACTCAGCATTTTGGCTGCAGTCGTTTCTTCGCCAAGCCCTCAACTCAACTGGTGACAAAAAGTCTGCAGCGCAAACACCAGGCTAGGAGGACAATAGAACACTCTCACATCCAGATAGGTTAACACTTGTAGACCGATTCAGTTTAAATTTTCAACTATTATTACTAAACAGAAGCGAGGTGGGTCCAGTTGACTTGGCTCTCATCACAGCTGTGATAAAAGTGCTTAGATACATCAATAGGCAGTGGCAGCGAAGTCAAGAATAAAGCAAACAAGAAAACGTACGAAGCTCCAACGGTCAAGTTCAACACGATGAAGTGACATTCAAATGGTTGTCGGCACCTGATTCCGGTTTTGCTTATCACTATGTCCTCCATACTACAGTCACAGCACGCCTGCGCCCACAGAGGAACCATGGGGGGCTTGCGCTGCACCACCCACAACTCCAACCACACACCCCATATCCAGTGTAAACCCGAAGGAATAAAACCTGGAGGTATGTGGATGGGATGCAAGCTTCATCAACGGAGGCGAGTTCCACTCATTCAACATGCACCACAGCAGCATTCCTGTCTTACTAAGTTGTGAATCATGAGTCCCAGACGTACACAAGGCGGTTGTTAGACAGTAGCTCGCTCCACACTAAACGTATGGAACCACATTTTGAGCCCAGCACGGTCACCAAGACCTTGCACATCGTCCATAGTCTCTTGAAGCCAGTAATCGAGTCGGAGTGGATTAAACCGGTTGGTACCTTGCAAACATTCACAACAAACATAGCCACACCGGGGATATATAACAACCAACACATAATTTGAGGAAAAATAAACACGAAAGTTTGTTAGGGAATATGCAACAAAATAACAAAACTTAGCGAGTAAAATAAAGTCAAATACTTCGTAACCAGATTAAGGTGACCTAATCTAAGTGTAAGCCGGTGTAGCTCAAATGCGGTGAGGAAGCATCATGAGTGCAACATCAACCTCAGCATGTGTCTATGGAGTGTACACAGGCACAAAAAGCGATGGAACTCAATAAAGTGCTATGAAGTCAATCAAATACTTTTTCTTTTCTTAGTAACCGTGCTTTGCTAACGTAGGAACGTAAAACAATTGAATGCAATTTATCCAGGTAGTCAAATTGCATGTGACCACTTGAAGTCTTTCCGGTCATAGGGATTCTTCATACTTAAGTCCCCAATCAGGAATATGTATGGTTCCAACGGTGGCTGGCTTGCCGAACAACTTCCTTGTAGTGTCAGCTGGGTGGTTCGGATTTTCCAGTTCCATCCAATGGTTCACAGCGTTCTCCCTATAAAAAGCCACATATGTCCGTTTAACAACATAGTGATGTGGCGGACGTGACTCGCCACTAAATAAAGTCACTGCCCCTCGCTTCATCCTGGCGAAGCATTGTATTCCAGCAAGTTTATGCTATAATTTCCGGGAGCATTGGGCCCCTGTTTGACGAAGGAACAAACGAAAGACGTATGAATTGAGCAATCAGTCACCGGCTCCCAATGGGCGCGATTCCCTGAATTCGCTCCGCTGCCTTGCGGGCAGGCTATTAAGTCAAAGGCTCGGGGTGGTGTCCCCTAAGTCAATACCCTACTTCGGCTTGGGCAACCGAGTAGTATCTCGCCCTCTGACGATGGACAATGGACAATGGTTTATTACGGGTAAAAAAGCATCGCTTAACAAGTCCCGTGGGATGGAAATTATTGCGAAAATCAATTGCATAATAAAGTGAAAAGCGTTGTGGTGGACTCACCATAGACTTATGTGGAATAGCGGAGATGTTCGCATATCAAACGTATAAATCCATAAATCCATTGGTTAGGCGTTTGGCAAGAAACCGTTTGATTGCGTTTTGTAGCCCCTGGCTAACAAGTCATAAAATGAAATGTAAGTGAGACAATGCATCGTCAACACGTTTTTTAAACATCGCCAGATTGGGAGCAGAGACGACATAATTAGGGAGGGCGTTCCAAGGCTGGCACACGCGGAGAGAAAAGAAATTTCTACGGCATTCAAGCCGGCTATAATGAATTGTCAGTTTCAGAGGGTGACCTCTTAGTTTAGTGTTGTGGTTCAATTCCAGCAGCGGACGGAAAATGTGGTTTGGGTTCTTCAGAATCTGGTAAACCATTATGAGATCCCTCCGCAAAAGCTGATATCGACTGCTGTACATTCTTAGAGATTTCAGTCTAATCTGATAGGGCAGATGAAAGAAGCCTCTGACGTTCTTGGTTGCCCGTCGTTGAGGAGTCTCGAGAGCAACGAGATCCTGTTTCTGTCACGATTGCCACGCCTGAATAGCATATTCCACGTGAGGTCGCACGTAGGCGTTAGGCATTTGGGGAATTATTGAGGGTTCAAACCGACCGAAGGCTCTGCGAAGAAGGCCGAAGTGTTGATTGCCGGTTCTTCTCGCCTTCTCTGCTTGTTTTGAACACCCGAGATCTTCCTGTACCAATACACCCAGGTCACGCTCCTGAGAAACCTCCGCCAAGGTGTGGTCTCCAATCTTGTAAGCGCTCACCGGCTGGTGACGCAGATGCATCACTTTGCATTTAGCCATGTTCAATTGAAGCTTGTTCCTCCTTGACCATTCGTAAATGCAGTCTAGGTCATGTTGGAGCAGATCCTGATCTGTCTTGTTACTAATCGCCCGCCATATCTTGACGTCATCGGCGAAAAGCAGGAAGTTTGAGGAGATGACTCTTGCCAGGTCGTTGATAAACACCAGGAATAAACGCGGTCACAGCACTGAGCCTTGTGGGACACCACATTCCACGTCAATTGGATTAGAAAGTGATCCTCTAACACGTACTTGGAGTTTTCGTTGGTAAAGGAAGTTGCCAATCCAACCAAGTACAGTATCTCCGATTCCGTAACTTTGTAGTCTTTCTAAGTAGCATGCCGTGAACAAGGCGGTCGAAAGCTTTGGAGAAGTCCAGATAGATGACATCGACTCCGACCCCATCATCGGCCACTTCCTTCCAACTACCTCGTGCAATCAGTAGGTTGGTGGTGCATGACCGGTGTTGACGGAAGCCATGCTGTTCCGGTACCAAGATGTTGAATTTTTCCAGGTAGTCCATTAAAGCCTCAGCGACGACTGCTTCCATCACCTTCGTGAGCACAGGGAGGAGAGTCACTGGATGATAGTTAGCAGGATCGGAACGGCTACCGCCTTTAAAAATAGGGGTTATAATGCCACAATTCCACATAGTGGGGACTTGTTGTTCATCAAAGCACCGTTGGAAGAACTGTGACAGTGGTTCAGCTAGCTTGATGGCCACAGCCTTCAGTGCCTTCGGGCGGATGTTGTCTGCTCCCGGAGAACTATGCTCACGCAGTGAGAGTAACTTCCTTAGCACAACTGATGGGTTGAAAATAACATTTGTAAACAAAGGTGTCGGTAATGAGCTTGACATTATGGGACAGGTAGAGATTGCGAGTTCGACAATTGGGGCGTATTGCAGTCGCAGGGCATTAGCTGTTTCTTCGGCGCTTTGTACTCTACTGCCTGCCGTGAATAGTGGAGGTATTCCATGCTTCACTTTATAAAGCTTATTGACATGCTTATATAGCAGTTTGTTGTTTGCCATGAACTTTTGGCTAGGCACTGTTGATAAGTTATTTTGTCCTCACGGACAAGTGCGGTGCAATGGTTGCGATGGGCCAGGAAATTTCCCCAAGTCTCTGCGTCGGGGTTAACCTTGTAAGCACGCCACGCTGCATCCCTTATCGCCAGGCGTTTGCGAGTCCTACTCCTTATAATTGAAGGCATTTTCGCGGGACGACGGGGTTTGGTCTCTGTTGCTTTGTTGACGATGTCGTTGAGCTTATTAACGAACTCTGCCCAAACGTTGTCAAGGGGACTGTTGTTTGAGAATTCCCAAGCAGCTGCGTCGGCAAGTTCTTTCAATACGTGGTAGCGTGTGATTGTATGAGTTAGTTCCGAGTGTTCAGATGGATACTCTGCATAAAACACATAGTCAAAAGTTATTACTACGTGGTCACTGAGACCTGATGGACTATCCATCAATAACTTGTCAATCATGAGCTCTTCATTTGTGAGCACAAGGTCCAATATGGACGGTTTGTTTGCTGTCCTGAATCTAGTGGGCGTGGTGACGTGATTGTACAAAGGAATATTAGCGATCAGTTCATGCAAGTCTGCTTTGAACTGCTCACTGGGCGATGCCGAAACCTCCAGATTGTGTAGATTGAAGTCCCCGGAGATGAGAGTGTGGCTGTACCTAGTGCGTGTTACTCTGTTTAGGCCACGGATCAAGCAGGAATCCATTTCCAGAGTGGACGTTGGGGGGCGGTAAACGATAGCTATGAGACATGTATCGTTGTGTCTCAGTCGGAGACGGCACCAGAGTGAGTCGGTAACGTGGGTTTCCAGGTCCTCAACTATTGTACATTGTAGATTGCTGCGGTAGTAGAGTAGGACCCCACCTCCTCTGCTGGGACGGTAGTTCCGGATGTGTGACATTCCGGCTATCTCAACCTCAGCATCAGTCACCTCTTGATGCAACCAAGTTTCGGTAATAGAAATTAGGTCCCAAGCATTCGCAACCTGACGTAGTCGAAGTTCGTTAATTTTACTGAGGAGCCCTTGGGCGTTGGTGTACATACATGAAAGTTTCTCAGATTTAATCAATGTTTCAGAAGTTGTACAACTCATACGTGAAGTTTCGCCGACCAGTGAGTGGCCGGCAACTGGATGGGTGGATGAAGCAAATGAGTTTACGCCGACCATTAGAGGGTCGGCGACTAATCGTTTTTTGGATGGGTTGCATACTCTAGAGAAGTATTTGATATATAAGCCGGTATCAGATGCTCCGAATCCCGGTGTTTGCTAGTGCTCTGCTGTACCCCTCCGGATAGTATGGCTACTCTTGAAACCGTCCCCGAGTCGGGTCCTGCAGCTGGCGTTTTCACTAAGAGTTGTGCCTCTACTGAATTGTCATTAAAAGGTGTTGTTGTTCTTGCTGCTTTCAGACGAATTTCCGTTGGCAATTTGCAACGGGATTTAATCCAGTTCGCTAGTAGTGCTTGTGCCATTTGTTCTGACTGTAACACAAGTTTTAAGAGCCTGGGACCGCATCCCTTATAGTTTGGTGATATGGGGATCCTTGTCAACGAGGTGACCACCACATTTTCGAGAGAAAGAACCTCCCGGATGTAGTGCCATTGCTCGCGGTCATGCATCTGAGCATCGTCAGAAGAGGAGTCAGTAAGCTCAGGAACACCGTGAGCAATCACTGTTTTCTTATCTTGACTTATTCTGTAACTCTTTGTTAGCGGGATCCCCTGAACGTTCTTTCCACGGGATTTCTGGTAGTATGCGCACTCCACTTGAGTCGTTGCGGAGACGATTCGCGGACAGCACAACGGCCTCAGTCTCGTCCCCTGAGTTTAGTGTTACCCGAAGTCACCGGGGTTCGCCGTAGTGCAACGCGTTTGGGTGGCGCGAGATTCTTTTTAATGTCGTGGGATTAGCATGGACTCCGATCGACGTACAGATGGAAACCCACTGATTTCGATCGTCCGTCAACTTACCCTTAATTGTATTGGATTTGGATTCGGGGACATTAGTGCATACAATGTTTAGGACACCATGGTTGCGCCTGGTGGCTACTGGTTTTGGATTTCGAGGCTTAGTTTCCGGTGTTTTTGTTAAATTTGTGAACGGCCTTGGTGTGTGCCATCCGTGCTGCGGCAGTTTTGTTTTCTCTAGTTCGGGCACAAAGTTTACCGGTGCTCTTTCTAGTGTTTGCTTGGCAGCAACCGATGCGTACGTTGCCGGGTTGTTCACTATGGCTGGTTGACTGTAGCTTACAGTCTCGAGTGTAGTGAACAGACTACTAGGTGCAGCACACAGTACAGAAGTTGAGGCAGGCGCGCTGCAGGCACTGTTTTTACTTATAGGAGGGAGAGAGAATGGAGTCGAAACTGCTGGAGGCTGAGTCGTTGGGGTTCGGTTGGGACGCCTGGCTCGCTTCTTCGGCCTGACTAGTGAGTTCGGGGTGTTATTTTCACTCACAAGTGCAGGTCCGTTTCCTCCCATGGGTGTAACTCTGGCGCTCACCAGTTGCTCGACTGCTTCGGTCAGTCTTTCACACCTCTTCAGTAGCACAGATAGACAGCTAACAAATGGAATAGACTCGCATACTTGGCAGAACCAAAACGCATCTGCGGTGTTGGCTTTCGTGAACGCCTTCCCAAGGCAGGTAGTGTGGTATGTTTTCAAACACATAGAACAAACCAGACCACTTTTTACGACTTTGGCACATGATTCGCATTTGCTTTTCATACGAGACATGTTCTCAGTAAGGGTAGGAAGTGGATGGAGATACTGACGCACCTTTGCGTGGCGATCGGCGCTGGTTTGAGGTCAGCAGGTCCAGGCGATGTGCGCGCCATCGATCCAGACGGGTAGACAGCGATGCGGGACAAAGCGACTGAGGCAAAGCAAGGTGACTTGGAAAATACTGTCTAGTGATGACAGTGGCAGTTCCAAAACGCAGAGATAATTGACGACTATCGCTTTGTAGAGCGACTTGAAGGAATGGTAGTAAGCTGATCGGGTGACTCTCAAAAAGATCTTTAAAATAAGATCACAAGAGTTCTTATGCGACGAGAGGAAAAATAAACCATCCGATAAGCTTCAAATACGGTTGACTTCGAATTTCCAAGAGCACAGTTTGTTGGTGATCCGTGAATGATAGATCCAATAGATGAACAGTGGTAGGATGAGCTCGCGGAGCCAAATCGAATGATGGCACGTAGGTCTCTGTTGTGTTGTGTTTTCTTTTACCATTTCTATACCTTCTTATGCATCCCATGATTTCTGATGGCATTATTTCTTTTCGTAGACCTTTGCAAATATATACAACGGTCACTGGCCATGGGGACAGTGAATTCAGACGTGGTCATCAAGTGAAAACCCGACTATCATTTGGCTTCTCTATGTCTAGCCTAAAGGGCACGTAAGGTGCGGTACTATTAAAACCCAGGCATGACACGTGTTGGATTTGACTATACCACCTTGATTAATGCGTGAAAACCATTTTGTGGAACGGAATACTTGCATTCCGAAAGATACGACAGCTAACATCCTCGCTGCAAACCTTGTGCTGTCATCGCACGTGAGCTATCACTTCCAGACACTGCAGACAATGGGAAGGTGCATACTGAACATACACGCTAGTCAAGACCAAATGACACGTAGCAAAAGCGCTCAACCCAGTGTGTATTATATCTAAGCACAAACATATCAGGATACTTTTGTTCGTCGCAGTCAGCCGACAATTTAGATAAGTCAACTGTCTATCAAAAAAACACCAGACGACGGTTTCGCCCTATTGGGGTTCGTCAGTGATGCGCATTCTTCGGTTCGCTGCGGAGGATCGAACCCATGACTGCTAGTGGCTCTTGCCAACTAGCCCGCAGCTTATGCAACTGAGCTATGGAGGACGGTAGCCGACCATCACGAATTGTTCGCTGACTGCGACGAACAAAAAATACTCGCCAAAATCCTTCTACTCAAAAGTAATCCAACTTTGCCCTTACGGATTCCATAACTGCTACGTCGATGCATAGCTGCCATAATCGGGAAGTCCTGACGCCGGAAGACCAACCGCTGTCATCTGCATGGCAGGTGCCTGCATGGCAGTGGAGGAGGGGTCGGGCTATATCGCAGTTAGCTAACAATTCGTGAGGGTCGGCTACCGTCCTCCATGGCTCAGTTGCATAAGCTGCGGGCTAGTTGGCACAAGCCACTGGCAGTCATGGGTACGATGCTCCGCAGAGGACCGAAGGATGCGCATCACTGACGAGTCCCAATAGGGCGGAACGGCCGTCTGGTGCTTTTCCGGATAGGTAGTTGACTTATCCGAATCGTCGGCTGACTGCGACGAACAAAAAATACTCGCCAAAATCCTTCTACTCATAAGTAATATCAGGGTGTTTTCAATAGCGCAACAGTTCACAAGTGTATGGTGGGATACAAAGCATCACTTTACAAGACCCACAGGATGGAAACTGCAAATGAAATGTAAAATCAAAAATGTTTTAACGGAAACGTGAATTTTCAATAATTTAGGCTTGAACTTTATCACACTGTTGTGTAGCATTAATCACTAAGTTGAAAGTCTAATAGTCTTTCGAATATCACGACTTCTGGTGCGTGCACCACATGGATTGGTAGTGCATTTCTGCAGGAACAAATACTAAGTGAGTAACAATACTTCCTACAATTCAAATGGCAGGGTTGCGTCACTGGTTTCAGGTGGTGGCCTCCGCATTGTTTGTAAAGGGCTAGAGTCAGCAGTGATGTACATGGGTGCTCTCTTTCTGTTAATATCCGGTATGTGAGAGCGCGATCTTCGCGAAGCCGTCGCTATTCTGAGGAGAACACACCGAGTAAACGAGTGCGCAGTTCGTAACTGAGACCGGATAGTCCACACGTTGCCTTTGTGGCTCCTCTTTGGGTTACTCCAAGAGACGAACATCTCGTTTTAACCATGGGAGCAAGGCATGCAGTATCTATTCAACGTAGGAAGGAAGATATGTGGTGATAAATAGTGATACTACCCGTCGCAAAAATGTGCTGAGAGCTCGCCCCAAAAGCAGTAGGCTCAAGTTCGCCACATGTGCTGCTTTCGAACAATGGAGTGAATTGCTATGCTTTTCTGGAACGCTACTTAAGTTTCGTTCCCTAGCCATGTGTTGTAAAACGTGCTATCTTAGAAGATGTCGTACTGAAGTTGCTACGCACCGTCAGCAGGTAGCACTTTACAGGGTTACTTGAGGGCTGGTTCGTTTCTCCCCATTGGATAACTTCGTGATTCTCATTATGTATGGAAAATTCCCTTGTTTTAATACATTTAGCAATGATTGAACCAGACGATCAACCAAACCAAAGTGTTTGTGACCATGAAGTGCGGATGCCTCTAATTCAACATTCTTGGATTATTTCCAAAAGTGAGTACATCGAGCTACAGATGATCAGGTAAAAGTAGCTGCACATTTATCTGTCTGCTGGCTAATCTAGGGACAGAGGAATCACTAGTGTATCTTATCACATAGTCAGTCAGCATTTACACACCCGGAAAAGCACTCTATGTTCGTTTCATCTGTTCAGGAATCTTCAGCAGTGCGCATTCCATCTGCCCTTAGTGGGGCTCGAACCCGCATCTCAACTGTTGCCAGTCAGTGGCTACCATCATTGAGCTACGCGGGCGGTAACAACAACCGTAACTAAGTTACTACATGTGATATAACGTCGCTCAGTATCCACTGGCTTGCACGTCGCTGTCGTACTGAGGACAGGATAGCCCCCTTACCAAGCAATGAACTTGCGCTGAATTTATACGTGTGTCATTCCACTGCCCCTACTATTCCCCTGTAGTAGGGAACAGTCAGCATCTTCCAGTAGCGTTTGCAATACAAAATGACAAAACGACTGTGTGTGCCGAAAGATCTTTCAAATAAACATATGCAACAGCGTACTGTCTACAAGCGGTCTGATCATCACTAACCTGTAGCTGTGCCAGTTTTAGAATCTGCTGTTCACATGACGCGTAATCCGCAGACAGTAAGTGCAATGCGGAGAGCATTGCAAGTGCACTAGCCTCTATCTTGATAGCGGCTTGCTGAATGCTGCTCAGTTGACGACTATCAGTAACAGCGGAATGTAGTATGGAGATGGTACATGGACGATGAGGATCTGATTTGCCAACAACCGTGGCTACGTGGTCGATAGCCTCTTGACATAGTACCACTGCCACATCTATGTGTTGAAGCGCCGTACCCACAGCCACTCCGTTGGAGTCCACATCGCCTTTAGAACGATCCTCGTTTTTTGAACGTGGCCGATCTTTCGGTGGTACAATTCGTTCACAACCCGCCTGGCTGTACAATTTCTGGTGTAGTTTGGCCAATTGAAGACACGTCCTGAGGTTGGGATGGTTGAAACAATAACAAAGTCGGAAATAAGTACTGAGGGAAGCTGTGTGAAAGTTTAGCTGAGAAACACACCCGATGGACATAGGGGCATGGCGAATCAAAAGCGTAGAAGTCATGTGACATCATCGGTTGCACAATAGCAATCCAACGTCATTATATCACTGGATCGAATGGTATATTGTATGCGTCTAGCCTCACGCACAACGTGCGTTTAAACACAAGATGAACAGAAACCTATGTGGCGGAAATCAGAAAATTGGTTTTGTAGCAGGCAGCATCTGACCACACTCGCAGACAGCCAGTCTGTTCCTCAACGCTAACTAGAATAATTTCTGGGCGTGTGTACTGATGGACAGATGAAAACTTAGTGTCGGTGCGGGACAGCACTCCGGTGGTAAAAGTACGTAAGTAAGTCATGTTTTTATTTTAGGGCCTGAGTTGTACTCAGATGAGCCCTAGGTGATGGAGTTCGTAATTTGTAAACATTCCTGTGCAGATAATTAGGCAAAGTGGGGTACTGAAATATAAATGTGTAATTTCGCAATTTTCTAATTCACAGTCATTATCATTAACATCATCACCACAAGCCTCACCAACAAATACACTAACATTGACAACATTACTGCACCAGTACTGGTATCAATTACAAAATGCACATTCGTTCAGTCGATCTGTTCTCCACAGAACAACAACAAGTTGACGGAAATATCATTCTAACATACTGGTTCCAGACAAAGAGCGATCATTCATGTAAATCACTGCTGGTCATAACACGTTTTAACCGATGCCAAGGCCAGAAGTTGAAACTTGCAACCCAATATTCTCGCTTGAATTGTGGAAAGTTCATTTCCCATCATAGTATCTACTCACACTGGAATACAGTACCAGCACAAGTGGTGAAGGCATCAAACATCGGCGACATATGAAAGACTATTGCACTATCCTTTAAGTGATAAAAGACACAAAACAGTTTAAGAAGTGCTATGTATGGACTAGTGATAGCTTACTATTTACGCGGTAAACTTTTGATATTCTTCGCATTTTCCATCATGTCTGTCCTGTACGGTGGCTGCCTTTTTATAATCATACACTACAGAACTATTAAAGTTAAATTGATGGCAGTAAGTTGAGGAGAGAGGAGAGGATTGAAGGTTGGGGAAAATACCCCGAACAAACGCACAGGTTAAAGATACGCCTGCTTTGCGGATACAGCAGAATCACAAACAAATGAAGCAGTAAGTGCGAGATAGTTTCTTTAAGTCCTTCACTGCTATTGTTATAACTAGCTCAGACAAAGACATATAGTATGTTCAGTTGGTAATTTGCATGAGGGTTTTAATCTATTTCTTGTACTGAATGTTTATCAACATTTCGCAAACATAGTTGGCACAAATTTCAAAGGGCGTGCGTTGATGATGTTGACTCATCTGGTAATAAAATATCTGGAAACATATCGCCCAGCTCGAAGGAGAACCCAATATCCTGCCGGCAATGCAAAAAGAACGCCTAATCTAAACCAATAGTGCGGCATGAAGGTGTTGGCAGACAGGCCAAAGGGGGCCGATCGAGAAGTATGGCTTGTAATGATTTAAGCCAAGCATGGACAGGCTTGTTCGAGCACATGTGAGAAAATGGCTCCGGTTGCCCACTGACACAACTCTGGCTTATTTCCACGCCTCAATCGGGGACTTTGGTATCGGTATACCCTGCTTATCCGCCACTATTCCACTGTTACGGAAGGACCGATTAGAACGACATCTTAATAATGCACACCCAATTACTAGCTGGGCCATCCGAGATCCCGCAGCTAGCTCCATTCATCGACTGGCGCGCTCTAATGTTACCATCGGCAACCGAGTGGTGATGGATAAAGTATCAACCGCGGAGGCATGGAAAGACGCGCTACTTACCTCAGCAGACGGGTGTCCGCTCCAGGGAGTGATCACCACACCCGCTGCACATCACTGGCTGCGGAATCCCACTAGGATATTCCGTGGACTGTTCTTTCGAGCAATACAGCTTCGAGGTGGGTTACTGTCTACAAAAGTACGACGCGCAAGAGGACGACCGCCTGAGACCCAATCCGAGCTACTATGTCGCGGCAACTGTGGACAAAAGGAGACTCTGTCCCATGTCCTACAATCATGTGGCATCAATCATGAAGCACAATGTAAACGCCACAATGTTATTGCAGAGCAAGTCGCCAAAAAACTCCGCAAACGAACAGTGAACATCGTTCTCGAACCAAGGATTCCAACAGCGACCTCATTCATCAAGCCAGATATAATCGCAGTAAAGGGATCATCGGTGCACGTCATGGATGTCGGAATTTGTGACGCCGACCGCATGGCGCGTACGCACCAGCTGAAGGTCGACAAATATGGCTCTGGAAATAACGCATCAATGATCTCGAAGTATATAAGCGCACAATTCCCCAAGACACGCGAGATTTATCACCATCCAATTATCCTAAACAATCGGGGATTTAAATATCCGGCTTCGGCGAAATACTTATCAACTCTCGGCTTTACTAAACTCGACATCTCGGATATCTGCTTCTCCACCCTCCGATTATCACTGATGGTATATGATACATATATGAGGGGAGCTTCCTCCCAGTCCTCCTAAAACGATTCCCACAACCTGATATTTCATACATTCAGTCTCGGATTACACAAACACACGGTGACCATGGAAGCGGTTCCGCCCAAAGTTTTGAAGTCTACCTAAAACCAATGATTATTATTATGCCGGGGCATTCGCCCCTTCTCGGCAAATTGTTGTAAATCTCCACTCAGGAGTCATGCATGCAGTTTACCGAAAATATAATGTTATGGGTCACGTGGTACCCGACGTGGGAGTGAGCTGGACCAACGCCACGTAATCCGATTATCAGAGACTTCATTTTCTAACTGCCGGTTTATTGATTGCTCCTATGCGCCACTTAACCTCAGGTTGATAGCCGTACCAATGCTCGGGTTAAGTAACGTGTGCTGTAGGCATCCTAAGTTACCCCGGTTTATTTGTCGATTTCACGAACCTGCGTTCCTCATCGCTACAAATCCGCTGGTGCCTTCTAAAATCGACCGGAGGAAACCGTGGGCAATGTATAGTAAGGTTTGGGATAACCAGACCGGGTGCATCATTGCCTACTACTATGGAGAGGGAGGAATGACTATGCTCATATTCCAACCTACTTGCTCATAAACCGAAGGGAAAACCGGTTCAGCGACAGAAAAGTCGCAGATTCGTGAAGACCGTTCTAAATTTTTGTGATATGTAACTTAGTTTTAGTTATCCATTTGTCAGTTCTAATGCAACGAGCGATGCTCCTCCACAATGGAACTATTGCTTCAACAAGCTGGTAGTGAGGAAAGAGAAATTTGTTACCCATCGGTGCAGGGCGCACACGACGAAGTGTGGAAGCTTCACAACGGATGTGAGATACCTACAGACAGAGTGAGAAAAGTTGGACAATTTTGCCAAACACTGCTTTACCCGTTATCTGGATTCCAATGTGGTCCTTCAAGCCAAGGTTTCAGGACACTGATGACTTATCATCAGCGCGATAGAACTTTGTCGACCCCATTCTAAACCCGTCATTGCATTACCGCTTGAAGCTGCGAAATCCAGTAAGCGTTTGCTGGTGCCACTAAAAGCTAGCGCGTGCCTCGGCCGAAACTTTCAGAAACACCAAATTCCAGCTAGTTGCAAGCATTGGATGATATTTTGGCCAACACCGAAGCGGAGTACATGGCTGTTGTGGCACCGACCAGTGTATTCAAGTCAAGCGTAATGAGATTAGGTAAAATTAGCGGTATCAACACCTTACACATTATTAGATATTTTAATGATAGCTAGTGATAATGGGATGACTGGTTAGGCCTAACTGAACAGGTGAAGCAGCAACCGAGGAGGATACTTTGAAAGTATTGAGTGAGATATGCCAAAAGCATAAGCTAAATGGAATCCTCTCGTAAGTGGAAACAATTTCTTAATCACGGAGGAGTAGTAGGGGGAGTTGAATGCCATAGGTAGAAATTCGTCACATCTAGACACACTCGGACAAACATCACACGCCCGGAAAAGCACTGTACTCGGGTTTCATTCTTTCGGGAATCGTCAGCAGTGCGCATTCCAACTGACCCTGGTAAGGCTCCAACCCGCAACTCGACTGTTGCCAGTCCGTGGTTGAGACCACTGAGCTACGGAGGACGGCAACTACCATTGTGAATAGGTTACTAGATGTGATATGGTGCAGCTCACTGTCCACTGACTTGCACGTTACTGCCGTGTAGAGAACAGGGTAGCCCCTCACCAAGCGATAAACTTAGCAAACTTAAGCCGCCAATCAACCTATGGCGTAATAAGCAGTTTGGTCTGTGCAATGATTACGGAGATCACAGACGACTTTCTACCTAGACCAAGTTCGTCACTGGGTGTGGAGCTACCCTGTCCTCTGCACGACAGTAACGTGCATGTCAGTGGATAGCGAGCAGCGCTAAATCATATCTAGTAACTAATTCACCATGGTCGTTGCCGTCCTTTGTATCTCAGTGGTCTCAATTACGGACTGTCAACAGTCAAGTTGCGTGTTCGAGCCCCAGTAGGGTCACAAGGCGTGTGATGTTTGTCTGAGCGAGTGTAGATGTGACGAATTGCTACCTATGCGATTTATTAATCCCCATCTCAATTTAGGTTTGTGTGTCATCAGTAGCCAGTGTTAGAAGTAATAATCCGAAATTAGAGAGGCCGCACGCTTGCATAATCACTAGTCCATCTATAACAGAAGAGTCCGTAAAGGGCGAGACTGGTAGTAGGGCGCGTTATTGATTGTAAACATCCACCTCTCAGTTCACCAAAACGCTGTGAGGAACGGATGATAATACATGCATCATGCGCATCAAGCAGTCAGAATGGATCCGCGTGTTCCGAAGCCGCTGAATTCGTGTAGAGTGTGAAGATATTATTCAATGCTGTCCAATGTAGTCTAGAGTAATATATAATCTTTTGCCAGTTAGCTAGACATCAACACTACAACACTTGCGTCTCCTCAGTTTCGATGGTGTTGTTTGAGTTGTTATGTGGAAAAGGGTTACGGAGAGTACTTTAAACTTGGCCGGGAGAAACCATCAAGAGACGCTAGATTAACACGTTCAAATCTTTCTGGGTAAGAGTGAGACGTTTTGAGCTTCGAAAACCACCAACCATGTTAAGTCTCATTTCTGTTTTAACTTTCCCACAGAGAGGTGGAACTCGAATAAGGATAAGGAACATCCTTACTCCTGAGGCCCAGAGTTCGATTCCTTGTTCCGCTGTCTCTCTGCCTGAAGCGCCCAGGTCATACACGTGGGATCCGATTCCGGTGGTTGAGCTAGTCCAGCTGCACTTGAAGATAATCGCAATTTAAACAGAGATTGAGTATGGCAGTCCATTCGCTTAACGGTAAACTAATAAACTAAACCTTTTCCAGCATGAATCTTCTGGGATGAGATGGTTAAATCCATATGTCTAGCTGAAAGCTGTGCGCTAGGAAACATGAAGTTACTCATAATTATCGTTTCAGCACTTCAAAGATCACATAATGGATTCTAAGTCCTGTTCATTGGATCAAGATTCACGAGCTACAGCATACTGGTTTATAACGTCGACAGAAACAGATATTTAATTTAATTAATCAAATCATTAGATTGTCATTCATCAGTTTAGTTAGTGTTTCAGCTGAAACATACACGGGGAGTGAAAACGGTGATACGCTGCGGTAAGCAATAAAAGCAATTGGGTCATTTCGTTTGGCAAGTAGTTGAGGTTTGAATGGGAGAAAGATAACAGGTTTGGGCTACACAACAGGTTGTCCACAGGCGTACACTCACTCAGCCAAAACCAGGCGCTGGTCTGCAAACGTATCTCCTTGTGCCACCGATTGCCTGCGTGTCACGCGTCGAGTCAGTTCGACCTTGGTTCGCTCCATAATGCTGAGGTACTCAGCAATCTTAGTCTCCTCGGAAATGCACAATTTGAACAGCAACTGCATTGAGCGTAGAAGACTATTGAATTCAGCTGAGTCTGTTGGGGCATGCGTAAGCGAAAATACAACGTGGTAAGCCTAGTTGTCGGACATTATTGCAAATGATTTTCTGGCCTAGTCTACACAAAGCTGAGTTTTAGCTCCTTGAAGCAACTTCCTCCTTAGCTGGCGCTGATCGCGGTAGCAACCAGCATGCGCGGGCTATTACAAAGAAACGCCAACTTTACACTTGCTCCACGTTTACTTTCTGCTTTCATTGTAAATATCAGTCACAGAAATGCATTAATTTAATTACGCTATTGGTGAATCGTTGCTACCAAATACTAGAAATAAGTGTCACCATTGGTCACATCAAGGAGTGCATTCAATTTAGTTTTTGCTTGCATAAGCAGGCGTGCGTTATTAACGATGCATGAATCACTGATTGGCGTATTTTTCCCCGGCAGAAGACTTAGAAACTCTCGTGAGCCAGCGTCCCGAATGGTGAAACACATAAACAAAATTTCTTGGCAAAATTCCCACTATTATCGGTTTACCGGTACTAAAGCAAGACCTAAAAGTGCAATAATGCAGTTATATTGCCCGAATGACAGAAATAGTAAACCTCTAAATCATGCCTCGTGATTCTCCTGGCCTTTATCTGAAAGTACTTTTGCTTACAACGCACAGTATACCAACCAGTTGATGCAATGATACCAGTGAATAATTTACAGGACGGATTATGCATTGTTAGCGATATACATGTAAAGAAAGCAGTAGTAGTGGAATAATATAATACAATACAACACAATAACTACGAATCTTAATCACAAATGTGATTCAGCGAAGCTATCAAATAACCCTCGAGAGACACAAGCATTCAGCCGCTGACAAGCAACGGGCTTTCAACACGAACACACATTCTCATCAACAGCAACAGTAGTATGAAGAAATGTCTGTAACTTGAGCTGATGCTTAGCTACCATATCCAAATGGTCAAAGTATTGAGACTTAAAATAAAGGGGGGGGGGATGGTTGACCAAATATAAAACCTAATTGACGTAAGGAAAGGAGCAAGATGTAGGTGAGTACATCTTATCAGAAGCGTGCGGTCAAAACAGCTAGATATTTTGCGAAGGTAAGACGGCCTAAATGGGACAGTTCGTGGAGTCTTTAATAAATCACCTCATATTTAGCTCTACCCAACGGACAAGCTAACACGAAGGACAATTTAAGCAGTTAATCCAACTAGGAGACGATGATAAATGAATTAATAGTGCCTTGGAAAGATGGATCTCATGTATTTCATCCAAGGAATATGAGACGGGCTAGCAGCGCACATTTTGAAAGTCGTAACTTCAACTTCCACTGCTAAGTCAGCTTCATCCCTTCGGCCTTGGGCCATCACATCATGCTCTCGTTGAACGGCAACGTGCAGACATACTCAACAAGTGTTCGAGTCAATGCAACTCATTCAGTGCTATGTATCGTAGTAGTGAGCTAACCGAACTCACACAGCATGAAGCCCTCCTGCACCAGTGTTTCAGGTCGGACAAGCTGATGCCATCGGATACATGCATTATTGAGGATCTGTCGTTTTATTTATGAAGTTTTCCTTCTACTTTTGAAAAACTTAGATGTTTGCGATAGCGATAGTGTCCTTAGTTTCACAAGTCCGGCACCCATTAATGCTCCAGAGCAGTGGTGCTTAACCTGGGGGAGATTACCCCCAACGGGGTAAAATGGAAGTTTACGGTGGGGCAAATATAAGTATGAGGATTTGGTTGTCAATCTGCTGCCAAATAAACTTAATTAATAAATCACCTGAAGCAAAAAATGCAACTAACTGGCTAATCACTGTGGGTTAGCCATTTGTGACTAATCACGAATACTACTACTAGTAATAATAATCATAATAACAATACGTATATTGCTGTCGATGCGCGAAACCGTGTCTGTAGCAACACAGATCAATTGGTACAGAAGTATCCATGCCCTTGCTTAGGTGACATGCATAAGTGGAGTATTGGGATATACGTTTCATGTAATGCACGATCGTTTGTCTAAGAAACCATGCTGTCTATTAGCGCATGGTTGAGGCCAAAGCATAGTTTTGAAAACATCGATGTTGGATGTGTTTGCGCCCCTCTTGAAATACCTCATCGAGGGATGTTTCCCATGTGAATATAGAGATTATGGTAGTTAGATCAAGGTAATTACAGAGACGGTTTCTAACTGTTGCCACAGCGTCACGTGACACGAGAGTTATTTGTAGTTTATTCCACAGATGGCTAGCATTGACCAGGAAGAAAATAGAGTGGACATTCGTCCTAAGCCTTGGTATATTTAGTGTAAAATCCTTATTGCGAATCTCTCGGGTTCAGCTAAGTCGTAATTCGAGTGTAGTCTTTTTGTGTAGCATTGCAGATTTCTCCACACGCGCACGACGCGCGCGCTCCAGAGTTAGTTGAAGTAATCCTATCTATTTTCTCGCAGCATAGTCATATTACGCTCATTCAAACCGGATTTACCAGCTCTAGACAGTGATCCATCAGACGTGGAATTATCTTTTATCAAATAAGTCTAAACTATCACTAATCCATTTGACTGGCTGGCTTGCCGAACAACTGGCTGGCTTGCCGAACAACCTCCTCGTGGTGCCAGCTGGGTGGTTCGGGATTTTCCCGTTCCAGCAAATGGTTCGGCGGCAGTGTTCCAGGACGTGGTGGGTTTTCGCCTGGCAAGCGTTCTCCCTATAAAAAGCCACATATGTCCGTTTAACAACATTGTGACGTGGCGGATGTGACTCGCCACTAAATAAAGTCACTGCCCCTTGCTTCATTCTGGCGAAGCATTGTATTCCAGCAACCTTATGCTGTACTTCTGGGGAGCATTGGGCCCCTGTTTGACAAAGGAACAAACAAAAGGCGTAAGAACTGAGCAATCAGTCACCGGCTCCCAATGGGCGCGATTCCCTGAATTCGCTCCGCTGACTTGCGGGCAGGCTATTCAGCCAAAGGCTCGGGGTGGTGTCCCCTAAGTCAACACCCTATTTCGGCTTGGGGCAACCGGGTAGTATCTCGTCCTCTGAGGAAACCATGGACATTGTTGTGTTGTGTTTTATTTTACTGTTTCTGTACCTTCGTTTTAATCCCATGGTTTCTGATGGCATTATGTCTGTTAACAGACTTTGCAAATATATATATATATATATATATATATATATATATAATCCATTTGACTGTCATCCGTGATTTAACACAAAACTCCGTTACTTTGTGTTCATGGCCCTTCGGTGTAACAGCATTCGGTGCAGAACTCGCGAGGCAGTCCACAAAACCTAAGCTTATTCTAATCCGGTGTTTCTCAACGCCTCTGTGAAGGAATTTGTGCTCCGCAATCTGTGTTCAGCGTTGTGTTTAGATTCATTTAATAGGTCCCAAACCAGCCGGGGCTAATATCGAGCGATCAACTAACCAACCCTGTAAGGTGTGCTTACCAGGGAACACCGGTAACAGCGAGGGCGCCACAACCCGCTGACGCCCGCTTATGGTGGAGGCGGGAAGCTGCACTAACTGATCATCCGACAAACGCGTGACCTTAAAACTTCACGCTCTCTGCGAACATGCCTAACGTTAAAAGCGAGTGTAACTTATGTATCAAAGTGGTGAAGCGTGGGATAGTGTGCAGCAGCTTCTTGAAAGCTTAGCACACTAAGTGCCGTGGGACGGGACCAATAAAAACGAGACGGTACAATAACACTACTGAAGCGTCTTGGTTCTGCCATGTATGTAGTGCTAGCCCAGTTGTTAGCTGTTGAACTGCGCTACTGAAGAATTGTGACAGACTTACAGAAGCAGTCGAGCAACTGGTGTGAGCCGGGGTTACACCTATGGGGGAAAAAGGACCTGCTGTTGTATGTGAAAACAACACCCTGAATTCCCCATTCAGGCCGACGAGGAGAGCCAGCCGTCCATACCTTACCCCCAAGAATCAGTCTCCATCAGTACCAATTTCATTCTCTCTCTTTCATAAGTGAAAACATTGCCTGCAGCATGCCTGCTTCAACTTCTATACCTCCATGATCCTGCAGATGACCGCGTTAAGTGCATGCATTGGGCTGCAAAAAACCAACGCCCTGTATAACATTGAATTTTCTATAATTACTGTCCAAAATGTAATGAATTCTACCAAACCGTCTTCCCATCTGGATTCCGATCGTAACCTAATTGTCGCCAGAATACTGGGGGGACTGACATGCAGTTACTATTGTTGAACATGTTTACCCTTTCGTAGGAATAAAGCTACCTTCCAGACCAGTGGAAAACATCGCTCATCAACCCGCGTCACAAGGGTGGCTCCAAACAAGAACTTAATAATTACCGGCCAATACGACACAAGCCTGTAGTAGCCAGAATATTAAAGAAACTGGTTAAGAATGGTATGATGAAACGTATCAATTCGCTGGAGTTAATAGACAGGTCACAGCATGGTTTCTTAGACAAACCATCGTGCATAACCTGTCAGTTACATTACCCAAACCATGTTTCGGATTCTACTGACTAAGGATATGAAATCATACTTCTGTTCCAGGACATGGAAAAAGCATTCCATCTAGTGCCCCCACATACGGCCGCTAAAATAGATTTCTTCACTTGAAATTTAGGACCCACTCCTAGGATGGCTATTGTCATACCTGTGCGGCCGTTCTCAGGTAGTTACCATAGCCGACCGCCACTCTTCACCACGTCCAATCAATAGTGGTGTTATCCAAGGAAGTGTACTTGGTCTATTACCGTTCCTGCTCTACGCCAGTGACATCAGTGCAGTTATCAGACATGGCAGGCCTTTCCTATTTGCAGGTGACATATAGTCCACGAATTCCGACGAGCTGAACATTAAGATATACTACTGCTCATACAGAAAGGCCTCTACTACATTGAGAAATGGTGTGACACCTGGAGGATGAAGTGCTCGGCGAAAAATCTAGCGTCATATATCGCGGGTATTTGATACCCGAGGGATCA